TGGCGAGCACGCAGTCGTTAACTTGTGTGAGAGACCCTCCTCAGATGGTCAGTTCTTAAGATTTCTATTCAGGAGATAGATATCCAAACTCCTCAGTGAATAGAAATCAATCCCTCGCGAATATTCACGAAAAGAGAACTAATTATCAGAGCGGGCATTCCTCGAGTCGTGAAGCGTAATCCTGTCGTGAGTTTCGTGGATTCGTAGATATGTAACACAAAGTACTAGTTTGTGCCTCTATCAATGCCTCGGAGCTCGTCGACGAGGGTTGGAAGGCGAGTGAACGTTGGGTTGTGGTTAAGAGCAGATTAGATTAATCACGTGTATCTACTGACTAATCTGCAGCTTCGGACAGTAATAGTACAAAACACATTCGGTGACAGGCTATCCATAGTAAGAGTATCAAAAAGAAAATCGTTCGTATGATCAATCCTTACAGCCAAGGCGCGCCAGAAGCTGGGGAGGATCGGGTCTTCAAAATTTCGGCATCAAGGACCCGCATTGTCATCCAAGGACAAATACCTATCGTGGATTTGGACAGATCGGGGGGGGGCCGGGAGACAATGAGGTGGAGCTGCACGAATGTAGGCGCAAAAGGTCCTCACTCTTCTCTGTACTGACTACGCATTGCAGCAGTGCGGGTAGAATGGTCGAAAGCGAAGGCGCACAAAGAGCGGTGGGAGGAAGAAGTAGAGCTTCTCCATGAGGAGATGAAGCGCGTCTTGCGCTTCCTCCGATGGCGTGCTTTGTGGTGGGAGACACAGTGGAGGACGAGGTGGGAGGAGGTTTCTGGCCCTTTACGGGCCGGTTTGGAGGCGTACGCCGCGTGACAGGCTGCTCTCGCGCAGCAGATTGCCCGCCGATTCAAAATGGCGTGGGACACGTCGGCCGCCACTGCGGTGAGAATGGCCGTGCGTGACGCAATGCTCGCAGAGAGCATGGCAGCGTTTGCGGAGGCGGCAGATGGAAGTGTACCGGGAAGCAGCGAGGACGGGGCCGATGATGACGCAGCGGATGCATAGGGAGTGGGAGGGCTAAGGCTGAGAGATGCAGGGGAGAACACGACGGGCACCGGCACCACGCGGAAGGCGTTGGGGAACATGGGATGCCCATGGATGCAGCCAGGCGAGAGGCAAGGCAGGAGGCCGGGGAGGCCAGGGGAACGAGGGGGAACAGAGTTCGAGCCAGTGGATGCATCGCGGGCAGGCATGCGCTAGTTTCGAGGCATATACTGCATTTCTGAGATAATTGCCTTTTTTGGGTTGTAGGCGTAGTGGCAGATGTAATGATGAGAACACGAGGGCAGACAAATATATAAACACTTGCAAATGATTTATTGTAACGTGGGAATGACTGGAGATGTGCTCCAGGCTGGCCGCCGGTCTTTTTTGGCGGGAGGTGCCTAAATCTCACGCCAGCGAGGGGCCTGGCTACAGCCGTGTAGGAAGGCAAAATATGTTTCTGGCTGTGGCCAGCCATGAAGGCTTTCTAGTACAGCTAAGGGTGGGTTCTACCACCTCATCGAACGCGGTGAGGTCATCCTCGGGTAGCAACCAAAAGCGCATCAAGTGCTCCTCCAGCGCGGTGAAACACTGACTATGTCGCTGGGCGTGAAAATATGAATGAAATACTGAATAAAGTGCAAACACTAAATCCAATAAAACACACAAAACACTACAACAAACGATACAATCGACGTGCGAGGTTCCAACGCAGTATACGTTGTGGCAATTTGAGTATTTACTATGTACGTTCCAACAATCTCTACAGATGCGAAGGTGGTGTCTGAGGCTGTTCTAGTCGCTATATGCGGTCTAGTAGCTCAAGAAGCTGTTCGTTACACTGTTCTTTATGGTAGAACTCCCACTGAACCGCTGTTACACAATATACCACTCAATCCTACTGTTATTCCAAATACAATACTTGTAGAGACAAGTGCTAACTTTGTTAGACACTTTCCCCAAGGCTCGTTTTACTCAAGTTCTCTCAATATCTCGCGTTCCGTGTAACCGTTTCCGTTATATTTCACGCGTTCCGTAGCCAAAACTTAAATCAAACAACCAATATATTGCAAATGAAACAAACAATAGAAACTAAATAGCTTCCAGTGACGTTCCGAATGAATACCAAACTTCTAAGAAACAACGTCAAGCGTAAGCCTTTCGTCTAACCGAGAAGGGGGGGATTCACTGGCCCTACACTCGAAACCTACAGGCTTTATATACTGTTCTCGAAACACTAATAAGGAAATTGATACACATGTGTTCTGTTAGTAATACGGATAAACGGAACCCGGAGACAAGACTTCTCCGTGATACGTCATGCTAATGGAGACGATGTGCTTTAAATAACTCAGTCAAAAGGAAATATCACACCCAAATGGCTCCTACATCATGATTTTGGCTGCTATATCACGCTTCCGGCTTCCAGTGATGGAAACCATTCAGTCGTGAAGAGATAAGCTTAGAAACCCCTTGCCCAACTACAGCCACCTGCTGATGGACCATACGACTTGTGTTGCCATTTTTAGCAACAACTGCCCCGCACCCTAAACCCTGGTCCAAGCGACTTATATTGCCTGAATTGGATTGTCAAACAACAGCACATCTGGAACCCATCCCAGTTGTACGTTATGCCCTGTCCGGGGATACCAATTCTCGGTATCCTCTTGGACCCCACATACTCAACCCTCAACGGACCTCTCTTTGGCCCTAACATATTTAGCTCTACCATTCATTGCACCCAGTTGTAGTCTAGATGGATTCAGAATAATACACTCTTGATAGGAGCGTGCGAGTTGGCCCCAATCCATACGGATGGTTGAACAAACTTCTAGATATAAGTGCCTTTTGCTGTTTTAACATTGAAACCTTACCGGAATCAATGTTGGTTCAACTGAGACACCGTTCTCTACACACTTTAGCCCTTAGCTAACTGTTTGAGTCTCACAATAGCTCTTGTCTGAGATAACGCCAACATAATCAATATAGAATACTGAAATGTTGACTTGACCTATGAAATTGATAAATTTCACGGCCAGCCATTTGTCCAGCTTATCAGCGGCGTGATGCCGTTCCGCAGCCCGGTCTCCGTGTCGGCATTAATATCTGCCTCCAGCTTCGTGAAGGCTTCTTCGCGCTGCTGGAGCATCGCCTTTCAGCGCTGCTCCACCTCCTCCACCTCATCCTCCTCTAGCTCCACCGCACTCACCTTCCTTTTCCCTTTATCCTTCCCTCCGGCCTGCCCGTTGCGCTCGTCGTTAGGCTGCTCGTTTTCGTCTCCCGCATTGTCGAAGGTGAAGCAGTAAGAGGGTGGTGGTCAGGAACAAAGAAGTGAAATTTTCACTTACGACATGATCGGTCACATAATCGATCACATGCTGGGCTGACGGTCCGGCGGCCCCTTGGTCCGAAGAGTCCTAGAGGACTTTGACGACAAAATTTTACTTATATTTTCCATTCATATTCTTATCAAAATTACAGACAATTTCCACCTCATTTTCTTTCTGGGTTCCTTGCCCGAGGAACCCAAGAGGGGGATACTATTATATCCGTGCAACCATGTCTGGCTCTCAGCCGACATTCATCCTGCAGCTCATTAAGTTGGTGTTTTGCGAAATAAGTGGGCAACTGCCCAAGGGTGTTTTGCGAAATGGGTGGGGTGGCGTCGAGCTTAGATAATCCAAGTCCAAATAAGGAAAATTCAAAAAAGTGTTTAGTGTGAGGTTCAAACTAACCACCTCCAAAGAACTGAATTTTTTTAGAGAGATCAGAACAAACCATTAGACTAAGTTGCTGTTTCAAATTTGGTTTGTGATATGGCTAGGTTATGCACACCACCTCTCTTTCTGATCATCATCTACCATTTAGTAACCCTCCTCCAACAATTTTCTACAATATCCCTGGGAACCCTGACACTGACCACCCTAACTCTAACCTCTAACCCCAACCTCTAACCCCAACCTCTAACCCCCAACCTCTAACCCAACACCCTAACTCTAACCCCTAACCCGTGTGGTGGGCAGACACTGCTTATTCTGTGTTTGAAAGGGCATAGTATATTCCTATCATAAGGCTGATGTTTATCAGGTCTGTGGTGTAGTTGGACATAGTCTTACCATGCTAAAAAGTATGGTAAGCTGAAGGTTTTGTGTTCGAATCCCACAACTAGCACTTTTAAAATACTTTTATTACTTGCCGAGGCTTTTCGCGAAACACTCTTGGGCAGTTGCCCCACCTTTCGCGAAAACCCCCTATACTGAGGTGCATCCTGGACCAGCCACTCTTCCGGTATCCGGCAGCCGGTTGCCGCTCGGAGCGGGTTTTTACGCAATGAAGGATTACTGAGCGTTTCCCGTTTATCCGTAGGTCCACATGGTTCTTACTTCTACATTTGGATGTCGCTTTGTCTGACTCCAACTTCTATCTCCTTATTTGGACTTTGCTTTGACATTACTACTTATAGTAGTGACACGTATGTCTACGTATATAAGCCCTATATATATGCTGTATTCCTCAGTTTGATAATTAACGTGCTTAGCCTCTTATCCTTTGCTCAGCTCCTTGAGTCGTCTCGTCCGGACTTCATCCGGACGTCTATCTCTTATCCTCTCTGCTCGATTGGCCAGATAGCAATGCTCACCCTACACGTCACTCTTGTGGTGCTTGTGTCCTTCCTAGGCTGACCGGTCATCCTGTAACCTTCTGGTACTCTCTTCTGGTAACCGGCTTCCAAACGACCGGCTGGCATCCGGTCATCCGACCTTGACTCAGGATATAACACACGCCGTAGGTACAAATACTGCACAATTTGTTGACGATACTTTACTTTTTACTCTTAACCTTACACTACGTGCCAACTTTTACAATACACATTGTTCGAAGTTATCATGTTCCATGAGATCAAGAGTACTGAGCTCTTACAGACTGGGCCAGGTTTCCCCATGAAGGGCTGTGGAGGCCAGCATTGTTGAAGTATGGATTTGTTCCTTTCACACTATCAGCAGAATAGCTCAGTTGGTAAGAGCACTAGTGGTGAAATTCACCTAAGAGGTCCTGGGTTCAAATCCTAGTTCAGCCATTTTACCAACAAGCATATCCAGAGTTCTTTCAACACAAATATGCAGATTGTTCGAGGATGTTTGAAGAACCCAGATGGGACCCCTCATTTCATTGTACTCATAAAGTCTGTAGGGTTTAGGAACCACAGCAGGCACGTCTGCTGTAGTATGACTTTTTTGCTGTCTTCCCTTGAGTGCCCAGAAAGAAAAAAAAAAAGGAAAAGAGGCATCTACTCACAATATTGATGTGCTTCAGGTTCAGGGTTCCATTTTTATCTTGGGGTCTCCTAGGGTGGTAGGATGAGGGGACTAGGTATGGAATCAGACAAATGATTGTGTGTTTTATTCAACTAATGGAGAAGTTCTACAAGCATGCATTCCCAGTTGTGTGGCTACAACCTGGCCCTATCCCATCAACCCAAACAAATGTCACTTGCATATAAGAGCCAGCTCTTGTTAAAGTATGTATAATCAGACACTGTAGAAACCATCAGGTTCATTAGGACACTGGTGTTTCACATGTCTAAACTAAGTGTCCATAAAACACAACAGACAAAGAGAATGCTGGAAGTTCCACACTTCAACACTCCCCCTGAATGAGAGCAGTCTCATTATCTCTCCCTTAACCCCATTGGGAGCTCAGGCAAGACAAGTGTGCAAGTTGGCCTGAGCAGATGACAAGGAAGAGCATAATTGTAGACTTTGGATCCTTTTCCTTCACACTGCCTAGATTGCCTTTTCCCAGTTTGAGTTCGGCTCAAAAGGGTAAATTCCCTATCAAAAATAGAAGGCGACCTACAGATTTCCTAGCCACTACCAAAGATGAAGATGTACTTGATCCTACAACAACTGATACAGATGACTCAAACCCCTCCTCACCTGAAATCAAGCCTGCGCAAATGACGGGTGCTAAAGCTGTATTTGGGTCTAGTTCAACCAGATCGGTACTGGACATGCCTTTACGAGGAAGCAAGGATGCACCTAAAACCTTCAGAGGCCATCATTCGGAGATCAAGTATTTTATTGCCCACTATGATAAATTACTCGTTAAATTCCGAGTGACAGACCCTTACGACTGCTGTGAGTGTGTTCTTGACTACTGCTCCATGGAGGTACAAGGATTTATTCGAGCATCAGAACATTATCAGAATAAAAATTGGCCAAAGTTACACCAAGAGCTTTTGAGATGTTACGATGCTGACCGGGCAATTTCACGATACAAGCCTAGTGATATTGCAACTTATACACTCAAAACACAGCGCAAACCATTCCATAATCTTTCACAATGGAAAAAGTATTTCATTAAATACAAGACCATGGCGGGTACATTATTTCAACAAGGCCATATAACCAAGCTGAATTATGATGTGTATTTCTGGCTCGGAATTGAACAAGATTTACGACATACTCTTGAGCACCGTATCAATCAGCTTCATCCTGAGCGAAATAACCAGCGACAGTACTCGGTGAGAGAGATAAACGAGGCTGGTGAGTGGTATTTCCAAAGAAACCGGGCTGAGACTATGGTAGTCAATGCTGCTGATTACAGTGTAGACTTGGATAGTGGTACTACTGATGCAGGATCAGAAAACGAAAGTTCTGACTCCGATAGCAATGTCTCAGATTATGAAGTTTATCGCCGCAAGCATCGCGCGAAACTGCGTGCCAAGAAAGAAAAGGAACGTAAGAAAAAGAAAAAGTCTGTGGCATCGTCATCTAAGCAGACTGGATGCACACTGCAAACCACAGGAACTGCTGAGGAGGTGACTGGTCTAATCCAGGAACTTAACAAGATGACTATTTCAGACCCCGAATATGCACCTGTCTATTATAAGGTTATGGCCCTAGATACCACAGGGGTCGTAGCCAAGTGCATACAACCTCCAAGGATTAACACAGGATGGGTTGAAACCAATCGACTACCTCCACGCACTCAGATAAATAAAACAGGTTCAACAGTAAATACAACAAGCATGGAAAACAGTCCAGCAACATACCCAAATAATATCCCACTGGGAAGTGGAGGAGTAGCACAAACCGAGACCACTGCATGTTTTGGATGTGCTGCGGAAGGGCACAGAATTAGCGAGTGTCCTGAAGTCCGAGAATTAATAACCAAGGATGTTCTTCAATATGATGAAGACCAAAGACTTCACATGAAAGATGGTTCAATAATTCGGAGATTTCCTGGAGAAAGCATAGTTCAGGCAGCAAACAGATTAGCTGCACCCCATGTAATGTGGGCAATGGAAGAGCTAGTCAATAACCACGAAAACACACAGGGATGTATCGAGGAAATTGCGATAGAATCCGAAACTGAGGAGCTATCACAATTGAGTGACTTGGAACAACCTTTAGACTCACACTGGTATGCGGCAACAGACTATGAATTAGATGACGCAGAAATGACAAGTGATAACGATATTGGAGAAGTCTATTTAACTCTGCCCCGGGGAACTCATTTATGGAAAGGTGCACAGGTACACAGCGTTGATAGAACTGTGCCGAGTACACGAAATGCCCAACGACAAGTTTTAGATGGTGTGTACATGCCTCCAAGGCGTAATAACATCCAGCAACTGCATCAAAAGATGAAGATAAATGAGCAGAGCATTCAGGGAAAGCAAAGGTGATGGACACACCAGCAAGCCCGACATGCAATGAACTTCCAGAATTACATCCGGTGGAAGCTTGGCTCCCTCGCGGGGATGTTGATGTGCCAATGGACCTCGTGGATCTGGAACCAAAGGAAAGTAAGAAGCCGAGGAAGCTGCCGACGCCAACGGAGGCTACGAAGGAATCAGTAGTAAAAGCCCGAGGAAGATGCCGTTTCCATATGCACTGGAGGAAGATTGTCTGAAATTCAAAGTACAGTTCAAATTCCATCCATTATAGACAGGATTCTTGACCTTACAGTTCCCATGACTGTCTGAGAGGCATTTGTTGCCTCAAAAGAAATACACACGGGACTTATGGATATAATTCGGCTAAAGAATGTCAAAGCAGTCTTAATCGGATGCTCAAGTGATATTATGGCAACGGTGAACTGGGACTGGCCTAGAACCGAGGGAATCTTAATCAAAATTGAGATGGAAACGGGTGGAAAAATAGTTACCGCAATAATTGATACTGGGTCGCAACTAAATGTTGTACGGGCCGATGTTGCGGTGCTAAAAGTCCAACACCCAGTTGATATGACGCGTATCACCAACATGAATGATGTGAATGGTGGCCGAGGATAGTTGCACGGATATATTGAAGAAGTAGAGTTCAGATGCGGCAGTGTTTTAACTCGCACAGATTTGTAGGTTTCGCAACAAGCCCCTTTCGAGCTATTGCTAGGCAGACCTTGGCAGCGAGGTAATTTGGTTACTATCGACGAGCGAGATGAGGGAACATACTTGATATTCAAAGACAGGGAAACCCGGCTTCCACGGTATGAACTTCTGGCCATTCCGCACGAGGTAGGTCCAGAATCGTTAGTCTATGAAAAATCTAATCAGGTGTTAGCCTTTATCGTTGATTTAGACCTTAGCGGAAAGGAAGTGTCAACAATTAGTGCCTGTCGCTCAGGCGAAATAAACGCCACGAGCGGGTCTAATGACATCATGACTTTCAAAGAGACTCACTAAATGAAAATCAGGATCTTGCTATGGAAAGGACCACAGCGACGAGCAAAGTTAAAAGAATATATGAAGATCTATGACAAAGGTGGAAAGAATTTGGAGCCTGACAAGTGGGGCTGCACACACTAATATGGATTCTTGTGAGTCACATTTTTGGTTGGATAATCAAGGATAGAGGTTTAAAAAGGCGAGGAGAGGAGAGGAAAAACTCACCGAAACCCGAACCGAGCTTACCGAACCAACCCTTAATCCTACACGCAAATCTCTTCATGCCTCCTCAGCCACTTTCTCCACCTACTTTTACCACCACTCAAAGAATTGATGGGCACCTTGACTTCCCTTCCTTTCCCTGAGACTGCTGACGATCGCACCAGTCACGAAGGAAAACCGACATACGGTGTCTTGAGTCGTGCCCGCACACGTTACTGCAGCCCAACCGACATGCACCCACGAGTTGGAACTGCTGCGGTACGAGTCAAGGCTGCCGCTGACGACTCTTGGCGACAACATCTACAAGGAAACGCGCCGGCAATTCGCCCTGGGTCATTGTTTCGACGCAGACTCTTTACACAGGCTGCGAGCGACGCGCCGATGGTCAGGAGATTTACCATGCCATATTTTTGAACGCGCGAATGCTGATTCATAACCCACTTACAGGGGAGCCTGGAGCCTGCAATGGTCACGTTGTTGCAACTCTCTACGCATCTCCGATGTATAACAAGACATGGGATCTCGAGACACCTTATCCTATTGAAGAGAACGTGGATACAGTTATGATGAAGTACGGTTCTGGCACGAGACGAGAAGTGAGTCGGCAGCATCGAAGAGGACACTTTACACTCACCAGAGGACGCAAGATACAGCGTGACACGACTAATCTGGAGTATGAGTCAGACATTTCAGAAGGATGGAAGCCATCCTACTCACCTCCTCTCCCTGCCCCCGTTCCCTGGCGACTGATCGCCTCACCTATGACATTGGAATCGCACCCTTCACGAGAATCCACGTCGTCTTTCCGCTACTTGACCCATCCCATCGGAATTCCACCACCAATGGATACCTCGGACATGGAGGTGGTGGGAACGAGCGCCACAGATGGAGATTGAGTTCTACGTTATGATACTCACGCAGGTCAGCCGGGGATTTGCTGCCCGGACATACCAAACTTACCCTGCAAATTGTTAGACAAACCCCCTCCACTTGTCGTTACAAATGCCGACCCACTTACCTCTCTTCCGGAAAACTCTTCTCAGCCTAAAGCATCGGCGTTACTCCACTTGTGGGACAGAAAACTTCCGCAGCCCGAGTGGACGAGACCGCTGGCTAGAGCCACAACTGCTGCTATGACCAGTTTGCATCAAGAGAGCTTGAATTTAGCGCAGCATTTTAACCCA